GCCCGGAGTCCGCGCCCGCCCGGAAGCGCAAAGGCGGGAACCGCGCGCGAGAGTTCACGGACCGGCGCCCGGGACGGCGCCCCGCCGGGAGCGCAGGTACGCACCGGCCGCTGCTGGCCCGAGACGGCGAGGGGGTGTTTGCTGCGGAGGGGACGGGCAGAGCGTTCTCCCGGCTGGGAGCGGCCCCCAATGCCAGCTAAGCCCGGAACGCGCCCTGCATCGCCCTTCCCAGCGGACCGAGGTGTCAACTGTAAGTGGGGTCCCCTCCCCAGGACCCCGAAGCTGCCCAATGGCTCACGCTCCGGGTCCCCCCACCTTACGTTGATTTCTCTGGCGTGCGGGGCACAATCACTCTGCGGTAGATGAGAGTCACGGGCCCTCCCGTTAAGGTTGAAGGTGGACACCTCCCCAAATCAGGGGGACAGCTTGGGTGACCTGACAAGTCTAAGGGTCACTTGGCCAGATTTCCAGGATTCGGATGTGAAGCCTCACTGCCCGCAACCCTCGTCCCCACCCCAAGCGGGGCTCCCCAGCCTCTGCTGCGCACAAGAGTCTTCCTGCCTGGTGCCCCTCCCAGCCTTGGAGGGCCCATTCCCCAACCCCATTTCCGGAGATGATCCAGGCCCCAGGGCTGCAGAGTGACCACAGGGTCTCCCCCACTCCTCCCAGCCCAGGCCCTGGGCTCTACACCAAATGGCCTAGCTCAAGGGCTATCCCCCATGCCATCCAGAGTCCCTGTTCCCCTGTTAGGGAGGAGGGGCCCAGCCCCCACTCCCACCCACTCCTCCCCCTGCCTCTGCAGCCTCCCTGGGCACTGTCTGAGCAGGCCTGCCTGGCAAGCTAGGACATGTCTGGCCCCCGAGGACAGTTGGTGGGTGATGTCTGCAGTGGCGGAGGGGCTGGAGCTCGAGGCAGCCGCTGCTGCTGCAGAAGATGCTGCAAGAGATGCTGCGGAGGCTGTGGATACAGGGCCCGAGGAACCTCCTCTCCTGGCTGGGAACCGGCTGAGCTTGGACCTGTACCCTGGGGGCTGTCACCGGTTGCTGCACCTGTGTGCTCAGCAGCCCTCTCAGCTGCTGCAGGTGGAGTTCTTGCGGCTGAGCACCCACGAAGACCCTCAGCTGCTGGAGGCTGCCCTGGCCCGGGTGCCTTGGAGCCTACCACTCCTCCGTTCCCTGGTCCTCAAAGGTGAGCCCACCGATCCCTGATCCTGTCTGCATCTCTAGATCTCCCTCTTTCTGCTTCTTGTTCCTCAAAGGCAAACTCCTGTCCCACCCCAGCTCCAGGCCTCCCGTCCCTGTTCCCTGGGTGTGAAACCCCAGTCCTCCTCCTGGTACCTGTCCTCAGCCCCATCACTGTCCTTGGCCCAGCCTTGTTCAACCCTCTTCTCCAAGGTGGAGCAGGCTGGGCTCCCAGACCCTGAAGCTGCCCAGTGGGGTCTCGGCAGACCCCAGTGTGGGTGTTGTTCCTGGAGTAGGTCACGGGTGATGGCTGTCAGCCGAGATGAGCTAGTGGTCCCTGTTCCTGCCTCCCTCCATCTACCAGTGCCCCTCCAGTGTCTGTCTGGCTGGAGTCAGGGTGGGAGGGTCTGTGCGTCCCGAGCAGCTCCTTCTCCGGCTGTCAGGGCCAAGCTGAGACCTGGGACCCTGGCTCTGAGGGCCACATCTCCCTCTCCCCTTCTCAGGTGGGCAACGCCGGGACGCACTGGGTGCCTGCCTCCGGGGCACCTTGATCACGCTGCCTGACAGCCTGAGTGGCCTGGCCTGCCTGGCCCACCTGGACCTGAGCTTCAACAGCCTGGAGACACTGCCGGCCTGCATCCTAGAGATGCATGGCCTGGACGCTCTCCTGCTCTCTCACAACCGCCTGTCAGAGCTGCCTGAGGCCCTGGGGGCCCTCCCGGCCCTCACCTTCCTCAGTGTGGCACACAATTGCCTGCAAACGCTGCCCAAAGCACTAGGGGCCCTGTCCACCCTGCAGCGCCTTGATCTCTCTGAGAACCTTCTGGACACTCTGCCCCCTGAGGTTGGAGACCTCAGCAGCCTCTGTGAGCTCAGTCTGGCCTCCAATCAGCTGCAGAGCCTCCCGGCTTCCCTTGGTGAGTAGCAGCCGCAACCCCTTGGCTCACTGGGTCTGATGGGAGCAACCCTCAGCCCCCGCCCAGGCTTCCACTCCTGCCCGGGCCCCCACAGTCTCTAACCTTGGGAGATTCAGAGGAGGATTGTGGCGCTGGCCCCGTCTCCTCTTCTGCAGGGGCCCTGCACCCATAGGCTTGGCCCACCTTTGAGCCTTTGCTCCTCGTCGGTGGCCCCCTTGGGTGCCCTCCCACCTCCCTGTGTGGCTGTGTTCGAGCTCTCGGAATCTAATCACGGAATAGAAGTGGCTTCTGAAGCCTGAAGTGGCTTCTCTGGGGGGCCGTAGCATGAATGTTCCGTCATAGGCTGACCACCCCGCCCACAGCCAGGCACACCAGACCCCTGAGGGGTCTTCTGCTGACTCTAAGCCAGCACCTGCCTGCAGTGGGGCTGCGGTCCCTGCGGCTCCTTGTTCTGCACAGCAACCTCCTGACCTCGGTGCCTGCTGGCCTGGCTCACCTCCCGCTGCTCACCCGACTCGACCTGAGGGACAACCAGCTCCGGGACGTGCCCCCTGAGCTACTAAGTGCCCCCTTTGTGCGGCTCCAGGGGAACCCCCTGGGTGAGGCCTCACCAGAGCCCCCAAGTTCCCCAGGTAGGCTCGGTGCTGGGTAGGGACAAGCCACAGATAGGATGCAGATGCTGTCACTATTCTGATGACTCATCTGCCTCTTCCACAGGGACACTCCTGGTCCTGGAAATGCCCAGACTGTTCCTGACCTCAGATGTGGACAGGTATGGGGGGAAGGGGAGGGTTGGAGGAATATTTGTCCACCCTGTCACCCTGGCCACATTGGACACCTTGCCTGTGTCTCAGGGGTCTTCTAGATTTCTTGGGGTGCAGGCTCTGACACATAATGCCCTTCTGTGTCTGACCTCACTCAGCTTCCCTGTGACCCCCCAAGGCTGCTCTGTGACCCTGGCCTGTGGCGTCCGCCTACAGTTCCCTGCGGGGGCCACAACTACCCCCATCACCATCGGCTATCAGCTGTGGCTACCAGAGCCAGGCCTCGTCCCCCTGGGTCCTCATGACTCCCTGCTCAGCGGTGTCCTAGAGCTGCGGCCCCACGGGGTGGCCTTCCAGCAGGTGCGGCCAGGGTGGGGCAGGGGGCAGGTGTGGAAGCCCCAGGCCTGGCCCCAGCCCTCATACCACCTTTGCTTGGCAGGATGTCGGCCTGTGGCTGCTCTTTGTCCCCCCACGGGCCCGGCGTTGCCGTGAGGTGGTAATCAGGACCCGGACAGACAACAACTGGAGTGACCTGGATACCCACCTGGAGGAAGAGGCACCCAAGGTAACAGCTGCCCGGGCCTGCCTGGGGGAGGCGGTGGGGAGCAGCCTGCCCTGACCCTGCCTACCCTGCCCACCGTCTCTGCCTTGACCCTGTTCCCTTCTGGCAACTCTGTCCTGACTCAGTCTCCCCACTGACCCCATGTCTCTGACTCCCTCCCCCTGTGTACCCGTACCCAGCGGCTCTGGGCTCACTGCCAGGTGCCCCACTTTTCTTGGTTCCTCGTGGTTTCACGCCCTGTGTCTAACACCTGCCTGGTGCCACCAGAGGGGACCCTGCTGTGCTCCTCAGGTCATCCTGGGGTCACGGTCACCTTCCCCCCTGGGGCCACCGAGGAGCCTCGTCAAGTCTCCATGCAGGTACGGTCAAGGCGGCACAGGGTGGCAGGTGGTGCCTCAGTGCACAGGTGGGTGATCAGGGGGCCTGTCTACCCCAGGTGGTGCGCATGGCCGGCCAAGAGCTGCGAGCTCTCCTGGGGGAGCCGGAGACTGCAGTCAGCCCCCTGCTGTGCCTCTCGCAGAGCGGCCCCCCCAGCTTCCTCCGACCAGTCACTGTGCAGCTTCCTCTGCCCCCTGGCGTCACAGGTGAGAGGGGGCCATGCAGCATCCCTTGGCCTTTGGCCACAGGGTGGAGGGGCCAGTGCTTGGAGGGGGAGCTTCAGCCCAGGGTGCCTCAGCCCACTGCTCCCTCCCCTCCCCAGGCCTCAGTGTGGACCGCTCCCGCCTGCACCTGCTATACTTGGCCCCTCCTGCAGCCACCTGGGATGACATCACAGCTCAGGTGGTACTGGAGCTCACCCACCTATATGCTCGCTTCCAGGTCACGCACTTCTCCTGGTCAGTGCCCCCCCAACTTCCTCAGTGCCCCCCCCCCAAGTCTGTACAGCCCACCTCACCCTCCAGCCCTCCCAGGTACTGGCTCTGGTACACCACCAAGACCTGTGTGGGGGGCTTGGCACGGAAGGCTTGGGAGCGGCTGCGGCTGCACCGCGTGAACCTCATTGCCCTGCAGAGACGCCGGGACCCAGAGCAGGTCTTGCTGCAGTGCCTGCCCCGAAACAAGGTGGGGGGTGGGCGGGAGGGCAGCGGGTGGTGACCAGCGTGTGGGGTGGGTTGCAGAGCTTTGGGTTCCCAGCTGCATGGGTGCCCCTGCAGGTGGATGCTACCCTGCGGCGGCTGCTCGAGCGGTACCGTGGCCCGGAGCCCTCTGACACCGTGGGGATGTTTGAGGGCGAGCAGTTCTTTGCAGCCTTCGAGAGGGGCATTGACGTGGATGCTGGTAGGCGTCCCTGCCCCTGGAGAGGGGGCCTGCGTTCTGCCCCTTCATCCCTCCCTGCTGAGCCATCCCCCGCTCCCCAGACCGCCCAGACTGCGTGGAGGGCAGGATCTGCTTCGTGTTCTACTCACATCTGAAGAATGTGAAAGAAGTGTACGTGACCACCACTCTGGACCGGGAGGCTCAGGCTGTGCGGGGCCAGGTAGGCCGATGGGGTCCTTCCCCTCAGGCTGCGTGGGCAGAGGCCAGAGCTCTGAACCTCACCTAATCCGCCCTCAGGTGTCCTTCTACCGGGGCACGGTGCCCATGGAGGTGCCCGAGGAGGCTGAAGCCGCCCGGCGGAGGAAGGATGTGGATGCCCTGTGGATGGCCACTCTGCCCATCAAGCTGCCGGTGCGGCTGGGGGGCAGGGTGAAGGGGCGGGGGCAGGATGGAGGCCCAGGGGGTGACAGGAGTATGGGAGTGGAATCAAGAGCAGGGGCTGGGGCTCACTGCACCCCTTCCTCCTGACAGAGACTGCGGGGATCGGAGGGGCAAGGGTGGGGGGCTAGCCTCTCCCTGGCACCTCTGAACCTGGGTGATGCTGAGACCGGCTTCCTGACTCAGAGCAACCTGCTGAGCGTGGCTGGGCGCCTGGGTCCTGACTGGCCGGCTGTGGCCCTGCACCTGGGCATGCCCTACCGTGATCTGCAGCGCATCCGACATGAGTTCCGGTGAGCCTCCTCTGCTGGCGCCTTGTGGGCCTCAGGGCCAGGCCCTGGCTGGGGGGAGGGCCCTGCTTGATGCAAGAAGTTTCATTCAGCAGAGGTGGGGGCAGGGCAAACAGTAATCTGGAAAGGGAGGGTCTGGCCACAACTGGCCCAAGGAGCTGTGAACCCCTTAGGAGGGGGAGCACAACTCTGAGTGTGGTGGGTGGCCCTGGGCAGGATCCCTCCGTCACCATTCTTCCTCCCCACAAGGGACGACCTGGACGGGCAGATCCGCCATATGCTGTTCTCCTGGGCTGAGCGCCAGGCTGGGCAGCCTGGGGCTGTGGGGCTCCTGGTGCAGGCCCTGGAGCAGAGTGACCGGCAGGACGTGGCTGAAGAGGTGCGCGCCGTCTTGGAGCTCGGCCGCCGCAAGTACCAGGATGGCATCCGGCGCACGGGCTTGGCGTCCGAGGACCCCGCTCTACCTGGCTCTTCGCCTTCAGAGTCCCCAGAGCCTGGCCAGGCCTAGGCCCCAGACTTTAGGCTGGCCCCTGACATACCGTGGCCGACGGGCAGGTCCCCCTACCTTCAAGCCTGTCCTGTGAATGGGGTTGGTGGTCCTCCATGTGCAACAAACCTGCACTGTTGGCTGTGCCATCTCAGCGCTCCGTCTGTTTGTTGGCGATTGGAGGGCAGGCGGGGGCCGGGTGATCAGAGGCCCAGCCCCTGCTGGGAGGGTGCCCCTGCGTGCACAGATGTCCCCACAGCCCTTGCTCCTGCTCCCTTCGCGCACCATGCCGGTGCCTCCAGTTACTCCTGATCTTCCCAGGGACGGAGGGGCTGCAAGATAACAGCGTGAATGGATGCAGAGTGGCAGAACTCTGCATCTGCCCTGCCGGCCAGCGCTTGGCCAGCTCAGTCCATGCGAGCACCTACTGTCTGGCCTGGGGACCCGCTCCTCTCCCAGGACACCCTCATCCATGCAGTCCCTGCCACCTGCCGGACACAGGGACCGGAGACCAAGGAGGGGCCCTGGCGACGCGCAGCCGGGCCTCTGCGCGCGAGACCGCGAGACCCCCGCCCTGCCCTCCTACCGGTCCCCTCACCAGGCTCCCGGGCGCGGGTGGGCGTGGGCTGTGGCCTGGCTGGGCGCAGTGGCCGCCGCGGCCGGGAGGGGGAGCCAAAGCCCGGCAAGGCCGGGGGCGGAGCGCGCGGCG